GCCGTAGCCCACCTTGGGGTGCTGATGGGGGCAGCCGTAGCCCAGGTGACTGAGGGGCTTCCTGGGCGCGGGGTGCCAGCTCTTCGTTTGTCTGGGTTTGCTTTGTGCACCCCCTCCCCATGTCCACACCCGCCCCCGCGCAGGCCCGGTGCAGGGAGCTTTCCCGTGGCCCCTCGGCTCTGCGGGTCACTGGCGGTGCTGTTGAAATTAGGGGCTGGTTTACATGGGACTTGTGGCCTGTTGTTAGAGGTGCGGGGAGAGATCTGGCTGCCTTAGCCCCCGGCGCGTTTTCCTGGGGGGCCTTGCACACATGGGCAAGGTCTAACCGACCTTTGAGGTCAGGGGGAACCCCGTGTTGCTGCTTATGTTCACTGCTCCTCTGGGGGTCTGGCAGCCTGGACACTGGAGTTGGTTTCCATATCATGTCAGTTTCACTGCACTAGGGAGTGGAGGTTTCCAAATTGCAGGGGAAAGTGCATGTTCAAAAACAGCTGTTTCCACTGGCACCTTTTTCAGAAGGGTTGGTTGGGTTAGAATTTCAACAGGACGGCAGATTTGAGAGGGCACCTTAAAAATCGCTGTTGGCTGCTCATTAGCTGTTCATTCAGACTTTTTGCCGCTGCAGGAGAGGGCTACAAACGCAGTAGTCAACTTCACCTGCATTTAGTCCGTTTCACTTTGTCAGGAGCACAGTGGCGCATGGCAGATTCATGCATTTTTGGTTAAAGAAAAAAGTTTGTTGAATTGTTTATATTTGATATAAAAACGGAGACAATCGGAGTATTTGTAACAGTGTTGATTGGTTACCTGTTGCCCTGATAGTGAAGGTGAATTTATACAAGAGGGAACCCAGCTGTAAGATTGGGGCCTGTATTTTGATCCAAACTCAACCTCATAATGTCTTTTCCAATTGCATGAACTAGACCAGAGATTATTTTCTGTGATAAGGAAAGAGAGTTTTGACGCACAGGGCTTACAGTCCAGAGCCCTGGATCCTATTCCAAATTCTGTCACCTCTGTTTCCAAATCTTTAAAATGTGGTTAGGGGTTACTGACTATAGCCTGCTGCTGCAAGAACAAGCTGTTTGTAGATTATAGAAATTGAAGTAAAAAAAAGATGAGGGATATTCCTTGTACAAGTAAATGAGAACAATTCTGGGTAGTCATTTGTTTTAGGCCTCTTTCTGATTACTATCCTTCTGTTTCCTGAGCTGCAGTGTTACATAATTTTCCTGACTAATTTCTTTCTACTTCAGTTACCACTTTTGTAGTCATGCTTTTTGTGAAGTCACGAGAGGCACCAGTGTGTTTGGAAGTGCAAGTAGGGTAACATTGGGAAAGACTGGTGGATTTTCAGGTATGTAAAACTTCTGCTGTAGCAGCAGACAAGTTTTCCCCTTTGGATTTTGCATGCTGTCAAGTTCTGCAATGTTTGGTGGAGAAAAACACACCAACTTTCTAAAGTACAAGTATCAGAAATCAGGGATGTGTGAGCACAGCTGAACTGGCACAAGTTCTAAAGCTCATCATAAAATATCTTTCTCTGGGTATGACTCTTGAGCCTTGTTCTAGGTATGCTGCCTGATGGTTTTTCTTTAGTCTCTTGATTGCATTTGCTGTTTTCTAACAGGTTTATTGTTTCTGCAGGTATTTTATTGCCAAGCCCCAGTGGAAGCCTCATCTTTCAGACTTTCTGTGGTGGATTTGGTTGAGCCAAATTTGTATCTGACTTATCTGGTCTGGGCCTTGTCATCTCTGGCAGACGATACATTTTGGATTAAGACAATAATAAGCTTGTAACAAGTAAGTTCTGGGCAGCTGGCAGTCCCTCATTTGTAGCAGTTTACCATTCAGTCTGCTTTATTTTCACAGAAATAGCAGTTCTTGGAAGGGCCACATTTCTGTGTGTTTCAAGTCCCACTGTTAGTAAATAACATTGTAAAAATAAGGAGGACGACCCTGGATTTTTCTCATTATTGTGTCTGCCTTTGTTCATTTAGGGGGTGCAATGTCATCTGTGGAACAACAGGGAGAACCACCTCCGGTGTCCAACTCATCCAGTACCTGTGAAGTAGTGGAGGCAGATAGTGTAAATAAGTATGAGGCAGTCGCACCGCACTGGTTTTACAGCAAGGTAATCGACTCTAGAGAGAGGTGGATCCCGTTCAGTCGGCAAGACTCAGAGAAGTTAGAAGAGGCCCACAACTCAAGTAAGTGGAAAATGCCTTTTTGTCAGAAACGTCTTCAGGGCCAGACACACAGTGGTTGTGAAGGGAACTGGCAGGATCTTCAATCTCTAGACTAGCGCGGTAGCAAAGATGGCTTCGCACTACCCTCCCCTAGAGTCAGGAGCGGCTTGAGGCGCCCCAGGTGGAACGCGCGATCGGCGCCCCTGCCTGCACGGCCGTCAACCCCCTCCCCTAGAGTCAGGAGCGGCTTGAGCCGCCCCAGGTGGAACGCGCGATCGGCGCCCCTGCCTGCACGGCCGTCAATGGGGTGACGTCATCATCGGGCACTGTTGAAGCGGCGCCCTAGGCAACGGCCAAGTCAGCCTATAGCCATGGGCCGCCTCTGCCTAGAGTAGGTGACCAGAGAAGAGAGGTACTAGAGAGAGTCCAGAGAGGAGCAACAAGAATGATGAAAGAATTGGGCTTGTTTAGTTTAGAAAAGAGAAGACTGAGAGGGGACATAGCAGTTTTCAGGTATCTAAAAGGGTGTCACAAGGAGGAGGGAGAAAAGGTGTTCATCTTGGCCTCTGAGGACAGAACAAGAAGCAATGGGCTTAAACTGCAGCAAGGGAGGTTTAGGTTGGACATTAGGAAAGTTCCTAACTGTCAGGGTGGTTAAACACTGGAATAAATTGCCCAGGGAGGTTGTGGAACGCCCCTCTCTGGAGATACTTAAGAGTAGGTTAGATAAATATGGTCTAGACAGTATTTGGTCCTGCCATGAGGGCAGGGGACTGGACTCGATGACCTCTCGAGTTCCCATCTAGTCCTAGTATTCTATGATTCTGTGACCTCCTGGGGCTGGTCTAGCTCCCAGATCTCTAGTTTAACTAACTCTCCATTTGAAATGTAGTAATGCATCTCACCCTACAAGCCACCGAGAGGAGGTGAATTAGCAAGCGTGACTCATGGGGTTTGCAAGACGGGGAAATCTGCCGCAAGAGCATTGAGTCGGCCGAGGGTTCGAGATGTGTTGTATGAGTGTTACCGAGGGGCTAGAAGCTGCCGCTGAGGAAAGTGTTCAAACATCTCGTGCACTTTTGGCTACGGGAGTTGAAAGGGTCTTCCCTCTCTGAAATTGTACACTTGTCTTTGGAAACATCTTTTCCTGGAAGGGAGCCTCTTCATGCTGCTTACAAAAAATGTCGCATCGAAAAGGCTTTAATGTTCAGGCCTCATTATTGGACACACACACAAAATCTAGTGCTCAGTACATTTGCATGGGAGAGCGTGAAAGCAGCAGCTGGTTAGGGAGCAATGCTGGTTAAATGCCACTACCGGGGAAGCCTGCCCTGCAGATCTTACTGCTCCGTGGATTGATTAGTATGCAAATGGCAGCGATGCAGATTGGAGGATGGGTGAGGCTTCAGGTCCAGCCTGGCTCAGACACTTATTTATAATTGTGTCCGCAGTGTGCGAGGTGCTGTCCGTACATATTAATGGACGTCCCTTGCCCAGAATTGCAGACAGCCGAAAGGCTCTGCTTCTGCAGTCAGATCTGCAGAGCCCCACAAGAGGAGCAGCAAAGGGTGGGGGAGAAGAATAAGGCTTCCTGAGTCTTTTGTCCTCTTGCCCCACCCCCTTTCCAGGGGTTAGACTAAAGTGTGTGATCCTGATTAAAGGTGCCGTGTTTTGGCAGCTCATGCAGGTAACGGGTGCTGCCTATTGCAGTGGACCTGTCATCCCACTAATAGGATCACCCTGTAGATAGTGGAGCTCGGGGAGGCTTTTGCTCGGGGTCAGCGGTGAAATCTGTCAGTGCGGGTGGGGGATGCCGAGAAGCACTGGGCCAGGTGAAGGTTCTGGGGGCTGAGGGCCCAGGGAGCTTATTGCAAGTCTGTGAATGAGACTCGAAATCTGATCTCGTGCCTGCTCTGCCTGGAGCAGAGGTGTGGCCGGGGGCTCCGGCCGTACCCTCTTTGCTGTTGTGTGCCAGGTTGCACACCGAGTGGCTGCCCCTCCCTTTCCCAAAGGGGGCCCCTCTTAGTGGTACTGCCCGGCCCATGGCGCTAGGGAAATACAAACCGACCTGAACATTGAAGGATCGCCATGCGCTAGATGGAAACCAGCTGACCGACAGGGTAAGCGCTTTGGGGCAGGGACTGTCTCTCTGGTTAGGGGTCTGTTCGGGGCCTAGAACGGTGGGGGAGGCCTCCAGGCGCTACCACAAGAGACAGTAATAAACTGGCCTTTCTGATCTCTCCACCCTATCCCTGCGCGGAAGCTTTTGACTCTCAGGCATGACTAGCCTAGGAGGCCTTTTTAAATGGGGACTGTGGCGACGCGGTTGCTGGCGTTGCTAGAGGCACGCCTGCGTTTTCGAGGGAAGCGCCGTGCAGACGCGGCTGCTGCCCCCTTGGTTTGCATCCCCCTCCAACTTCTTGGCAACATGCCCTCGGGTTGGTTTGCTCTCGGCTGCAGCCCTTGCCTTCCCCAGGGCGAGAGGAGGAGCAGCGGGTGGTTCCAGCGGAAGGGGGCAGGTACGACGTGCATCTGCAGAAGCGGCTGCGCCACGCCGTGTACTGGGAGGAAGAGGTGTCGGAAGTGAGACGCTGCACCTGGTTTTACAAGGGGGACAAGGACAACAAATATATTCCCTACCCGGAGAGCTTCAGCGAGGAGCTGGAGGTAAAGCGGCTCGCCGGGTCGCGCCCAGTCCCTAACGCCCGGGATGCCACGAGGGGCCTGGGCGCTGAGCTGTGCCCAAGGACGTGAGCCCCAGGCTGACCTTTCGTCTTTGAGTGGCACCGGTAGACGTACTCGCTCCTCCCTCCTCTGCAGCCTCGCCCGTTGTGCCAACTGCAGCACGTTGAAGAGAGACAGGCTCCCCCTTCTCAGATCCTGGGTCCGGCTGCACAGTTCAGCTGCCTGGCCTGGTTTTCAGCCCTGGCCTCTGGACTTCACCCCTTGCAACCTGCATTCTGCCACGCGTCCTTGCCTTGCTCCTCATGCCCTCCCTCCTCCTACCTCTCTGTATGCTGCCTCCAGGCCTGGCCCATCCTCGTCTCCCTCGTCTTCAGAATGCTAATTGCTCTCTGACTCCAAGGTGTTCCTTAAAGCCCCTCCTCGCGGCTTGCTACCTACAGCTCCTGACCATACTTCTATAGGCGCTCGTCCCTTCCTTCAAGCTGCAGACACGCCTATTGGTCCCGCTCCTTGTCTGCTGTACTGTCCGCATTTCTCTTATGTAGACCCTGATCCGGCAAATACTCCCACCAGAGAATAACTTCACTAGTGCAAATACGTAGTGTCATGGGGCAGTTCCATTGGCTCCAGGGAGACAAATCACTTGTGAGAGGCTGCAGGGTCAGGCCCGCAGGTAGCAGACTACCCAGAGAGAGCTGCTTTATGGCCCGAAAGGTGGTAAGCGTGTTTATGAATCCCTAGAAACTTCTCCTATTAATGGCCAGTAACTCTTCCTATGGAGAATGGTTTTCCATAAAATTTTCATCTGAAGATGCTTCAGTAGAATCTAAAATGTCGCCTCTACTAAAATTGGTGGCATAAAGGTTGCCTCCAGCAAGCACGATGTAAGCCAGAGTTTAGTCCTGGGATAAGACTGACAGCTACTGATCCAGATCTCTGATTTACTTGAGTTTGATCAGTGATGTTGAGGGGTGGAGGCAACCTCCCAACGGGTGGAGTCCTGCGGACGCGTCTGTCTGACTTGCAGAGATTTCTCTTCTCCCCAGGAAACGTACATGATTGCTGTAACTTTGGACGAGTGGAAGAGGAAACTTGAGTCCCCCACCAGAGAAGTCATTATCTTGCACAACCCAAAGGTAAAAGCCTGAGGAGTTCCTGGTTGTAGCAGAGCCTGATAGATTTATGGTTTCTCCTCTGTCGTTCTCCTTTCCGTGCTGGCCTGCACTCGGGTTTTGTACTGCTCCAGTCGCATCTTTTAGAAACCAGCCTACTCGGTGCTCCTCCCTCGGTGTGGATGCAGTTATACCCGTGTAAAGGCATCGTGGTTCAAGGTGCCTTTACACTGATATCACTACATCCAGGCTAGCAGGTCGTGCCACTTAAACTACATCAGAATCTGTCCTTGGTATGCTTGTTCCACCATTAACATATCTGAGGGACTTGCCCTAGGTCATGCAAGCCAGTCTGTGGCTAAGCAGGACTTCCCAGCTTAGCTCCCCAACCACTGACCCGTCTTCCCTCCGGTGTAATCACCCCACAAACCAACAGTTTAACGGGCTTAGTGGCTAACGACTTCATTCCGCTGCTGGTTTCTAATTGATGCAAAGTGGCGCGCGCCCTGGCGCTGCTTGGTGGGGAATCCTTCCTCCTGCCTTTCCCAGACGTTATTTGTTCTGGCAAGGACAATGCAGAGCACAATTCTGCCTAGAACAGCGTGAAAAGCAGCCTGATTGCTGAGGAGCAGAATGTACAAAGAGCTGGTGAGCTCCGTCTATCCAGCGTCCGTCGGTGGCCTCACTGGCGCAGTGCTGGGCAGACTGGCTCTGCTCCTGGCAGTGCTACAGGTGTGCTTCCCGACAGATGCCTGACAAGTTTGGCAAGGACAATGCAGAGCACAATTCTGCCTAGAACAGCGTGAAAAGCAGCCTGATTGCTGAGGAGCAGAATGTACAAAGAGCTGGTGAGCTCCGTCTATCCAGCGTCCGTCGGTGGCCTCACTGGCGCAGTGCTGGGCAGACTGGCTCTGCTCCTGGCAGTGCTACAGGTGTGCTTCCCGACAGATGCCTGACAAGTTGCTTATCCCCCTTCATGGATGTGTCGCACGCACCACCGAGTTCTACCGCTCT